CCTCTGGAAGAGCAGCCTGTGCCCCCTTTATAAGACCTTGACAGACAGGCAGGAAGAAATCTTCCCAGCACATAAGTGAGTTGTGTTCTTCTGGTTCCCTTTGCCACAAGAAGGACTCTCCCAATCCTCAAGCCAGGTGGTCATGAACGTAGGAGTGTCAGAAAGGCACCTCAAAGAATAGACAGAGAAAGTGAGAGTGTTTGTGTCTTATAATAATACTTAACTTGCCAAGCAGTGGTGGCGCACGCCTTTAATCCCAGCACTCCAGAGGCAGAGGCAGGCGGATCTCTGTAAGTTTGACGCCAGCCTGGTCTACAGAGCAAGTCCCGGGACAGGCTCCAAAGTAGTACAGAGAAACCCTATCTCAAAACACAAACAAACAAACAAAAAGAATACTTAACTCTCTGGGCAGTGGTGGTGGTACAAGCTTTTAATTCCAGTACTTGGGAGGCAGAGGCAGGCAAATCTCTGAGTTCAAGTCCAACCTGGTCTACAGAGTAAGTTCCAGGACACCCAGGGTTATACAGAGAAATCCTATCTCAAAAAACAAACAAGCAAAAGAACTGCAAAACACCGGTGCTCTTCCACAGGACCAGGATTTGGTTTCTAGCATCCACATGGAAGCTCACTGTCTGTAATTCCAGTTCCAGGGTATCCAGTGCCCTTTTGGCTTCTTCAGGCATAGTTTACAGACACATGCACATGAAAATGGTCAGTGCAGAGGAAGCTTCGATAAGTTGAGTGGACAATGCTCACGCATGGGACTGAGATGTAGTTTAGTTAGTAGAGTACTTTTATAACATGCAAAAGGCCCTGAGTCCCGTCCCCAGCAACAGGTAAACTTGGCATGGTGACTCACACCTGTGATCTCAGCTCTTAGGAGGTAGCAGGATCAGATAATCAAGGTCATCCTTGGCTGTATATGAGAAGAAACACACACACACAGGGACAGACAGACAGGCAGACACATGCACGTGCAGGCATGGGGGGGGGTGGTTGACCTGTGGATCTGAGGACATGAACAAAGTAACACAAAGTAACAATCAGGCCAGTGCAGAGATTAGGATGGGCTCTTGGCGGGGTTGTCCTGGAGAAGGCCTTGCCTGTTGCTTTTACTGAGTCGGTTTTATGAGGAAACAATATGATTCCACCTGTGTAGAGATTTCCTCCTATCAGCCTCCTGATATATAGGTCAACCCAACATCTGCCTAGTTCAACAATACAGTAACTTCTTTCTTTCTACCCCTCTCTCTCACTCTTCCTTTGAGGTGGGGTCTTAGTCTCCTGGGTGCTGGGGTTAAAGGTGTAAACTGGCTGGAGAGATGGCTCACCAGTTAAGAGCATTGGCTGCTTTCCCACAGGGCCTGGGTTCAATTCCCCACACCTACATGGCAGAGGATAACTGTCTAGAACACTCTAATCCCAAGGCTTCCTAACCCTCTCCTAGCCTTCATTGGGTATTGTACACACATACATGTAGTATGCAGACATACATACAGACAAAACACTTACACACACTTAAGAAAAGCATGCACCACCATGCCCAAAAATCTGTTAGAATTTGATTTATTATTTTTAATGTGTCTGTGTGAGGACTGTGAAGGCCAAGAAGGTGTTGGATCCCCTGGAGGTGGGAGACAGTGGAGAGAGTTACAAGAAATGGGTGCCGGGAACTGGACGGGTCCTCTGGAACAGTAGCAAGTGCTTTAAACCATGGGCCATCTCCTGAGCTTCCCAGACTGCCTTATACATTGTAGCGCCCCTAAGACTGACCTTATCACGACCTCACACGACAGCCACTGACTTCATTGTGTATGCCCATGCCCGACAGTGGTTAGTGTCCTTTGTCTGTGCTGGGACTCGGGTTCAAACTGGTGGCCCACATCTTCTCCGGAACATCAGGAAGATGGAAGGCAGCAGCTTCAGAGGCTGGATTCCATTTAGACTCAGAACCCGCAATTCTAAAGCTCTCAGCATCCTCCTTTGGAATTCCTTTTCCGAGGAAATGAGCCAGAGTCACTTCTCTGTGGCTGGCAACCAAAAAGTCTACGTAACACCTAAAATCTCTCATTGTTCCATATATTATGTTTATAAAGGATTGGTAAATACATTTTCTTCTCTGTTAGTTTGCAAACTCTGAAAAGCTGTCCCCATTTCTAATATAATACCCTTGCTTGCCCTACAGTATGTGGAACACTATAGGTGGACAGATTGCAAAGTTGTAGAGTCTGGGCCGTATCCACAAAGTACACATTTGGATCAATCTGCAGTATGGTTGTTCTGTCGTCTGACTTGATGCAGGCCACTAGTCTGAAACCTCAGGATGCTGAGGTTGGAGGATCATTTGAGGCCAGGAATTTGCACCAGTCTGGACGATAATACTGTGTGACCTTGATTTAAAATAAAAAGTCCCAACATTGGCACACATCTATTCCCAGCATTAAGGAGGCTAAGGCAAGAGGAACAGCAGTTTCAGGCCACCAGCTTGTGCTACATAGTGACACGGCTTCAAAACACAAAACAGATAAAAAGAAAGGACTATGTCATAGACCTGTGAAGTAGGGGCAGAAGGGTTTGGAATTCAAAGACTGCCTTAACTACAGAGTCAGTTTGAGGCCAGCATAATACCCTGTTTCAAAACAAATCAACATTTAAGAATATGTTCCTATTATCTAAAAAAAAATAAATAAAAAAAAAATAAAAAACCAAACAAGCAAAAAACAACAACAACAAAAACAAAAAAAACCTAGCCATGCCGAGGAGGCTCCCACCTTTAATCCCTCCTCTCCCGGAGGCAGAGGCAGGCAGACCTCTGTGAATTCCAAGGCAGTCTGGTCTGCAGAGTTCCAGGACAGACGGGGCTGTTAAACAGAAACTCTGTCTCAACTCTTCCCATCCCCCCAAAAAAGTTTGGCACTTAATTATTTATTTGTGTATGTGTGTCACAGCTTGTGGAAGTCAGAGGGGAACTTATGGGAGCTGGAACTAGATCTCCTCTGCTTTTTATTATTTGTTTTTCAGAAAGGGTCCCTGTGTGTAGTCCTCTGCTTCTTGAGTGCTGGGATTGAAGGTATGCCACTATGCCCGACAGGTTTCCTTCCTATATCATGTGGGTCCCAAGGATTGAACACAGGTCAATAGGTGTGGTGGCAAGGACCTTTACCCACGAGGCATTATTTGCCCTCTATTAAATAACTGTAATCTATCTATCTCTCTCTACACCACACACACACACAGATTTTTTTTTAAATTTTCTAATTTTTGCCATGACTGGGTATGGTGGTGGCACATTGTCCAGTTTGATGCCAGGATAGGCCTCTTCATCTAAAAACAAACATGTTTCAGTTAAAACCCCCATATTCTCTTGAAAAATCTAGAAGATGGGGGACAGGCATGGAGGGACCTGTCTGTAATTCCAGCGTCTGGGAGGCTAAAGCAGGAACATCAAAAGTTTGAGACCAGCCTGGAGTACATAGTGAAAGCCCGGCCCCAAACCCTTCAGTGCAGGATGGCAAACGCCTTCAATCCTAGCACTCAGGAGTTAGAAGAAGCTTGTGAGTCTTCACGAGTCCGAGTTGTAGGCCAGCCTTGTCTACATTGGGAGCTCCAGGCCAGCCAAGACTGCATAGTGAGACCCTTCCTTAATAAAATGCCTACCATTACCAAGGAAGATCTAAAGTTCTGCCTGCATTCCTGATTCCTGTAGCTGCATTTTTTTTTTTTTTTTTTTTTGGTTTTTCAAGACAGGAGTTCTGTATAGCTTTGGAACGTGTCCTGGAACTAGCTCTGTAGACCAGGCTGGCCTCGAACTCACAGTGATTTACCAGCCTCTCGAGTACTGGGACTAAAGGGACTAAAGGCGTGCGCCACCAACGCTGTACTCTTTAAACAAAACTCTGGCGTTTGTTACCAAAGGACTCATGTTACTCTCTTTATTTTCGTTACCTATGAGGTCCTTATAGGTAAGTTTACCACCCTCAGAGATCACCTGAAGTAAAGTGAATAAATAATAAATGAATTGGCAAATAGCCCTTGCTTTTTTAATTTTCATCTAATTCTATTCACCTAACTAACTATACTGTATTAAGCCATGTAGAGGACTGAATCCTATTAATTAATTATTTTTCTTCAAATGACTTTTTCGATTCTCACATCTATCAATACAGGTTCCTAAAACCTTTCTCTTTTTCCCCCAGGGCCGACCCCCAACCATACTGGCTTGGATCACCCTAATTTGGCGACTTGTGCATGTGCCTGAAATTTCATCAGTGTAGCCAGCTCCCTGGGCCAAATTGTGACTAGTGATTCGTCAGGTAGACATTATTTCCTTGTAACACAAATACACAACTTTGTGAAGCCAATTATAGACAAGACGCCATCCTCCCTATCGCAAGTTTTCGCTGAGGTGTGGAAGTTCCTAGCCGGGAAGTGGGAAAGATGCGGGAAGCTGCAAGGAACCACATTCTGGGATTTAACCCTGGCTTTCGGGGTAGGGACTCCGAGAAAGTCTGTGATCCACCCCGGGGGTGTGGCTCCCGGCGTGCAATCCTGGAACAACTTCAGGACCCTCTAGATTCAAGCCTTTGGGAGCTTCTACTTGGGACTGGCTATCTCCAGCTCCTGGCTGGCTTTGCGCGGCGGCGACTGTCCTCAGTCTGTAGGTCGCGCCCTTTCCGCGACACATCTCACCGCTCTCTTCTGCATCAATTTCCCCAAAAGGACCAGTGGCTTGGTTGGTGGGCAACTCCCTGTTTTGCAACCCGGCTTGCAGAGACACGTGTAGAGCTCCTCTTGAGCTCCAGCTCCAGCTGCGGGGTGTGTGTGTGTGTGTGTGTGTGTGTCCCAGGAGAAGACCCCAGGTTAGGGGACACCGCACGCCACCCCTCGGCCCTGCTGCGCCGCCGACCGGCCGCGCAGGGGCGCCCCGGGGCCTCCCCGCCCCCGCCGCGCCGCTCCCGCGCTCCCCCTAGCGGCCGCCGCGCCGCCTCGCTCAGTCCCAGGCTCGTCGGGCGGCGCAGCTCACGTGACCGCGCTCCGGGCCTGCGGCCGCTGTCGGTTCCCCCAGTCACCGAGCGAGAGGGAAGAAACAAGATGGCGGCTGCAGGCGATCCGGAGCGGGGCCCCGGCAATTCGGACTGAGCCTTCTCTCTCCACCCCGCCGCTGCCGGGCCGCGCCCCTCCCGCCCGGGCCCCGGCGCCCTCCCCTCCCCCTCGGCCCGGCGCCCCCCGGCGCCCCTCCCCCCACTCCTTCCGCTCCCCCCCCCCCCCCGGCCGCGGCTCCGACATGAGGGGCCGGCGGGGCAGGCCGCCCAAGCAGCCCGCGGCTCCCGCTGCGGAGCGCTGCGCCCCGGCCCCGCCGCCGCCGCCACCGCCGCCGCCGCCGCCGCCGCCGCCGCCCGCGTCCGGACCCATCGGGGGGCTGCGCTCGCGGCACCGCGGCAGCAGTCGGGGCAGGTGGGCCGCCGCCCAGGCTGAGGTGGCGCCCAAGACGCGGCTGAGCTCGCCCAGGGGGGGCGGCCGCAGGAAGCCACCGCCGCCGCCACCGCCGGCCTCCGCCAGCAGCGCCAGCGGCCCGGGCCGGGGGGGCCGAGGAGGCGGGGGCGGCAGGACGGGGGGCGGGGGCGGCCACCTGGCCCGGACCACCCCGGCCCGCCGCGCCGTCAACAAAGTGGTGTACGATGACCACGAGAGCGACGACGACGACGAGGAGGAGGACATGGTCTCGGAGGAGGACGAGGAGGAGGAAGAGGACGGCGACGCCGAGGAGACCCAGGATTCTGAGGACGACGAGGAGGATGACATGGAGGAGGACGACGATGACTCCGATTACCCGGAGGAGATGGAAGACGACGACGACGACGCCAGTTACTGCACGGAAAGCAGCTTCAGGAGCCACAGCACCTACAGCAGCACTCCAGGTACCCACCCAGGCCGCCCGGAGACTCCTTCCCCACCTCCTCCCCTCCCCCTGGCTTGCTCCCTCTCGAGTGCAGTGCATCCTGCTTTCCAGCTCCCCACCCCCCCCCCACTCCGGCCTGTCCCCCACGCGGAGGCCACGGCGCATCTAGTGACAAAAAAAAAAAAAAAAAGACAAAACAAAACTAGATTTGCAAAAGGAAAGAGGCGCATTGTTCAAAATGGAGATTGCATTGTTGCAGTTTGCAGGCCGCACTCTGGTTCGCTCTCCTTCTCCCCCCCTCCCTCTTTTTCCTCTTCCAAATTTGTGCCAAGTGCGGTGTCTCCCCCAGGCAGGATTGAAACTTTGGCACACTCGTATCCATTGAGTTCGTTTTACTGCTCTTGTTTTGGTATGAGTATTCTATTTATTTGTTTTTGCAATGAAAGCAGCCTTCTGCTTTGCAAACCATTGCATTGCATGCCTAATGCGTTTTCCTGTATATTTGGGAAAATTACCTGTTCCTTAAAAGTGGGAATTCAGATATCGTAACACACATAGACATACTTCCTTTCTTACCCCTAGTCATATAGTTTGAAAGCTGTTTTGCAGGAAGGGCTGTTGGGTTAGCAGGGAGCTTCATTTGGCCCTGTGCGTGCGTTTGTGTTCTTCGAGTGCTCATGGGCGCGAGCAACAGTTGCTGGTAAATGGCTGATTAAAGAGCAAACCGAAAACCTGACCAAACCAAATTTGGCAAGCCTTCCGATTCAGAATTGCTTTGGTTAAGTTCCAAATAAAAGTATAACACCAAAGGGCCGTGTGTCCTAACCAGTTTGATCTTGGCTTTGCGTGGGAGATGCAGGGTTGCCGCACCTGTTGCAGAAGAAGTGTAGTTGATCATCTGGGCGAAATTGCTGAAGATGAACTTTATGAAGTCACAGTGTAGAAATGTCAGCTTGCATCCGACAGGACTTTTTCAATTTTTATTCTGTTTCTGAGGAAAACGTGGGTTTCTCCATGGTGACTTCTCCTATGTTTTCTCACGTAGTTTCTTGAGATTGGCCCCTAGATGTGTCTAGTTTAAATAAAAAGCACACATACAGTTGTTCCTTTGTAGTAAATGAATAGTTATTGGGGAGGAACCTTAACTTGTAGCAACAGACAGTCAAGAGTTTGCTTTACTCTGGATTAACAGAATTAAAATCTAATTTTAAGGACATTTACAAAGTAAAGTGTGTGAGGATGTGTAGATAGTCTTTCTTGTGAGTTCTTGCTATACCATTTTCAGAGACTGGGGTAGCAGAAGTGGTTAAATTTCAATGTTTCCTTTTTTTTTAATTGTAATTGATTAAATCCTTAACTGCCACAAGTATGAAAATTAAACCAGATTAGACTGTGTTAACATCAAGTGAAAAAGCCAATTCATTTGCCTGATTCTTAAGAACAAGTTGCTTAGCTTAGGGAACTTGGAGGAGAAGCTTGGAGGGAGACTGTCTTTTAGCAAGTTCCATTTCTTGCCAGCTTAGTTCAGTGCGTCTTTTATAGTAATAGGTTTTACTTTAAGAAATTATAAGTTGGCCATCCCTGTACCACGAGCCCAGAATTGACCTGAAGACTGACATACAGTAGTTGAGGAAGTTAATTTTTGAGTTAGGACGGAGTCATTTTGGCAGGGTGTTTTAGCTAACTTTTAACTCTTCAAAGCCCTGGCAGACAGTACTGATGAATTTGAAGGCTGGGCATCTGCTTGAATTCAATTGCAGGGTGTGGCTGGGGTCCTTTTTTAATTAACCACATAAAACTTGTGTACTCCAAAAAATTTTAAATGAATTAATTTATTTGAGAGAGGGCCTCTCTACATAGCCCTAGCTGTCCTAGTACTCATTATATAGACCAGGCTGTCCTCGAACTCACAGACATCCACCTGCCTGTCAATGCCTGGCAAACTTGTGTACTTACGATACTTCAAAGACATTTTTCTTCCAGTGACACTTGTAGCCTACCTTGGTGTGTACACTTGTCCTATATTTATGTGAATTAATAACTTACAGGTGTAAGTTTTGATCTTACACATCCTGCAGCTCCTAATAGACATGTCCATGGCAGATCCGCATGAAAGACTGTTTGGATAAGTTATTGTTAGTAGGTGAGACTTTTGATAATTCTGTAGTAGGTGCCATAACTTAAATGATCAGGTTTTAAGAAACTAAAGTTGGTGAGATTATATATTGAAGAACGCTTCAACTAGTAACTGTTTTTAACAGCAGATAGATTATACTAAAAAAAAAAAAAGAACTTTTAAAAAGATGTGATTTTATTGTTATTTTTAAAATTGTATGTGTGTGTCCATGTGAGGGTATATGCAGGTCAGATCTCTTGGAGCTCTTGGTCTGAGAGCCATCTGCCATGGGTGCCTGGAATTGAACTCGGGTCTTCTCCTAAGGTTGAGCTGTCTGTGGAGCCAGAGTATACTGTTTAAACTGCTCTCCTTTTTCTTTCTCTATTGGCTGTGGAGTTGACTTGAGGATTTGAAACAAATGACTTCTTCAAATGATGATAAAAGGATGCTACATTTGGTGTTTTTGACTTTTAGAGTCTGTCTATACTTGTTTGCAGTGAGAATCCATGGCAGCAGTGAATTGTGCCATTGGTTTTGTTCTTGGTACACCTGGGAGGATACTTCAGGTCAATGTGTATTTGTATGTTTGGGTTAAGGTACACTTAAGCCACCCGAGGACTGCCAGGGCTACAGAGAAACCCTATCTCGAAAAACAAAAAAGATATACTTAAGAGAGTACGTCCAGTTGGGTGTGGTGGTACACACCTTTAGCCCCAGAATTCTAGAGGCAGAGGTAGAGGCAGAGGCTGAAGGATCTTTATGAGTTTGAGTCCAGTCTGGTCTACATAACAAACTCCAGCTCATCCAGGACTACATAGAGAGACCCACTTTCAAGAAAGAGCAGGTGGCACACACCTTTAATCCCAGCACTTTGGAGTCAAGAGGCAGGTGGATCTCTGTGAGTTTGAGGCCAGCCTGGTCTACAAAGTGAATTCCAGGACAGACTCCAAAAGCTACACAGAGGATCCCTGTCTCTGAAAACAAAAACAAAAAACAAACAACAACAAAAAAAGAGCAAGTCCAGAGAGGAAAGTAGAGGAATACATCTCGTATAGTCAAGGCTAAAGAGGCGTATGCTTTAGGTAATGTAGAAAGTTTGGTTAGTTAGTTTTTGTTTTGTTTTTTAATAATTTTATGTGAATTGGTGTTTTGCCTGCATGTATGTCTTTCCTGTAACTGAGTTATAAGATAGTAGTGAGCTGTCATGTGGGTGCTGGGAATTAAATCCGGGTTCTCTGGAACAACAGCCAGTGCTTTTAACCACTGAACCATCTCCCCAGCCCTAGTTCAGTTAGTTTTTGTAGTTAGTGCATTGGCTTGAGTATTACTGGCATATTAAATTTCTGGCAAAAAGAGCTGTGGGTGTTGTTCATCTGGTACAGTGCTGGCTTAGCACTCATGGAGCACTGGCTTCAATTTCCAGCACTTATCCTGGGTTTGGTAGTGGATGCCTGTAATCTCAGCTCTCTGGAGGTGGAGACAGGAACAGACAGACCTTCACAATCATCTTTAGCTACATAGTGACATGTGCAGTCTCTCTGACATCAGACCGAGTACCTTCACTAACCAAATAGTATACAAGTAGATACTACTAAATAAATAGCTAAAGAAATAAGTTCCTAGTGTAATTAATTCATTGACCTATTTATTGAGTACTCTGTAAGTAATGTAACTGTTGATGCATACAGATTGTCTTATTAGGGTTACTATTGCTGGGCTGAAACACCGTGACCAAAAGCAACTTGGGGAGGAAAGAGTTTGTTTGGCTTGCATCCCTCCATTGAGGGAAGCTAAAACAGGAACATAAACCTGGCTGGAACCTGGAGGCAGGCACTGTTGCAGAGGCCATGCAGGAGTGTGGCTTACTTGCCTTGTTCTCCATGGCTTGCTCAGCCTGCTTTCTTATAGAACTCAGGAGCACCAGGCCAGGGGTGGCACCGCTCACCATGGGCTGGCCCTCTCCTAATAGATCGATGATTAAGAAAATGCCTACATATTTGATGACTTACAGCTTGATCTTCTGGAGGCATTTTCTCAAGAGATTCCCTTCTCTTATATGATTCCAGCTTGTGTCAAGTTGACATAAAACTAACCTGTACACAGATATTATAAAGTCAAGGACTTTAAAATTTTAATATTTATTTATTTTGCAGTAGAGTGGGTTTCAGAGTCAGGGTTTTTCTATATACCTTATGTAGCCTGGAACTTGCTCTGTAGATCAGCCTGCCTCTGCCTCTGCCTTCTGAGGGCTGGGATTAAAGGTGAGCCCTACCAAGCCCAGTTTTAAAAGTTTATTTAGCACTTAGTCAGAGGCAAGCAAATCTCATTGAGTTAAAGATCAGCCTGACCTATAGAGCAAGTTCCAGGACAGCCAGGGGTACACAGAGAAACCCTGACTTGATAAGCAAAAGTTATTTTATTTGGGAAATTTTCTTTTTTGTGAGTTTGGGACTCATTGTCATCCTCCTGCCTCAGCCTCTTGAGTACTGGCATTAAGGTGTGAGCTATCACACTCTGCTGTTTACTTTTTTTTCATTGTGCAATAAAATTTTCTCCATAGGGCAAATGCTACTGTAGAGATGTCAATTATTAATGGAAACTGGAGATCATCTCATTTTGCTTTAGTTACAGGAATTTGGTTGACTGAAGTGTTTATCTTTTTTTTTTTTTTTTTTTCAATTGGTAAAAGTTTGTGTTGGGCTGAAGATATGGCCCAGTGCTTTGGAGCATTTGTTGCTATTGAAGAGGTTCCAGGTTCTATTCCCAGCATCCATCCACATGTTGGCTCACAACTCCAGTTCCAGGGGATCCAATGCCCTCTTCTGACCTGGGGCACCAGGCACCCACGTGGATACATTAGAGACATGCAGGCAGAAACATTCATACGTAGAAAATAAATAAAC